GTAAACTACATCGAATTCTGAACTGATGGCTTTATTTAATCTATGGGGGGTAGACTGTTCTTGTTCCATTCTGTTATATCATGTGTAGTTCTTATTTTTACTGTTCATGTATTGCAAGCCCATTTCCACTGAGTCTAAGTACACTGCCCGACCCAAGGATTGAACTCGCAATTACTACATCACGAAATTCATGAACCACTAGTCTATTGTAACTCCTCATCCTAGAAATTCAGACAATGAGAAAGAGCAAAATGAAATGTTCTGATGACCAAAAAGAAAAAAGTTAAAGGTCAAGAAATCTGATTTTTCCTCTGCTAAAAAAAAACTGGATGACTGTGTAAGTGGGGAAAACTGCTACTGGACAGTCATGACAAAATGCCTTGCAATGCCCCAGCAGTGGACACAGCAAGTGTGTCCACATGTTTATAGCTGACCACACCTGCTGTTATCTGGTCCCTCCCATTATCTTCTATGTTTCCCTACAAGGACAGCTCTGCCTCTCTGCAAAAATCAACCCTCTCTCCTGTCGACTCTCTGGCTAACCCCTTGTGAGGCCTCCCCTACCCAGCTTCACTGAGATCTGTTACACAGCATGCAATGTCGGTAGTTAACTTTTTCCTTTTCTTTCCAATTCACTTTGCACTGTCAAAAGTCACCCCCAACTCATGAATACTGAGCCCCTCCCCATTGCAAACTTTGAGCCTTCGTCTCCAACATGGCCATTTATATCCATTATAGCCATCTTGACAATTGATGCACAAAACTGGTTGCACTCATGTCCTCCTGGCTTGTGTGAAGGAAAAGTCAAGAAAGAACAAGAGAAGATAGTGAGAGGCAATGTAAGAAAGAATGAAAAGAAAGAACTGTCACAGGGGTTTTATGAAAGTGAGAGTCATGGAGAGGTGAGCATAAGAGTTGGGATGTACACAAATTGGTAAGAAAAAAAAATGGTGGAAAGATATTGGTTCCAAGATCTTGATTGCCATTGGAACAGAGAAAGACACAAAAGACGGAAAGGCAGTAGTAGTGGCAGGCAGGAAAAAATGGGTAGGATTTTAAGAGAGAGAATGCATGGGGAGTGAATTAGGGGGTTAATACTGGCTGAGGTCCCACA